CATTAATGAACCACTGTTCCTTATTATATTAATGTTTTTTTCAGATGCACATGGTCAATAGTAACCATGTGGGTAAAAAAATCTACGTTCTTATTATATAGGATCCTATCTGAAATCTAGATATCCCTGTAAAATCAGAACAATTGGTTACCCAATTACTATGGGGAGCCTGGCAGCTGATTAAACCGTATAACAATATGGTTTTATTACATGTCCTTCTCTGCCACCGGTGTATTTATGCTTTATTCTCTTATCAGCCCCTTTAACAGTCTACACACTACAATATAATAAAAATGAAGGGGGCAATAACATAACAGTGCCCTAGATTACATAGATTTGCCTAGGAAATTGGTACAGATGTCATATAGTTCGCTGATTCGATTTTACCCTCACCACCGCTATTCCAGTGTTGCCCTTTTTTAATTCACCAATATTTCTCTTGATTTTAATAGAGTGTATGGGTTATTACAAGTTATATTTTCTTTATAAATTAGAGTATACCATATTATCGTATTAAATACCTCCATTTGAAATATATTGAAGTCTACAATGTTGCGAATATATATAAATGAGCTATGAGAAGGAACATCGTTTTTTTTGGGAATATAAGTTTCACCGTACCCGTCCGTCCAACCCCTGAGCCGGAAGGATCTCAGGAGAGATCCGATTGAAATCCATTTTCTACGTGGGGAATCCACGTAAAAAACGGATTTCAAACCATGGGTATTTATTTATCGAGTTTCCTAGTCTTTGTTCAGGGCATTAAGTATTTCAATTGAAAATTCATTGCAGCTTAGTAGCGGTATACCAGATAAATAGCATAAAACAGTTTTGAAACTACGTTAATATGAATGCCCACAACATGTTTTGTAATGTACTTATACGAATTTTGATGGAAACTGTATATTGGGGGAACCGAATTTAAATGCATTTAAACTGTCGGCACACGTATTTCTATTATTATAAATTTTCGTGTATTTCGTGTATATTTATGACTAGTTATGGCCGCGACTCCATTTCAGTATTTTTTTTTTGTTATTTGTATCAGAGAAATTACCCAATTGGTGATAAGTGTTAACTAGTCTATACACATGAAGACCGGTACAGGCACAGCGTCAACAATCATAGTCAACAGTCAACTAATAACGTTAACAGCTTGACTTTAAAAATATGTATCTAGTTCTTTTCAAATAAAATTGTCACTTAGTTAAATTGCATATATTTCTAATATGTTCTGCAGGACTAATTATTTTTTAAGTAATCTTTTTTTAACTAATTTTTTTGTGAAATGAATCATATTAAATAAACACAATGATATGGGAAGCTGAAACACATCAGAGAAAACCCTAATAAAAAAAAAACAATATTAGATAAGTACAAAAACTTTTTAAAAAAAACTATTCCTTTGACCTCGGTAACTTGAGCGCAACATGAACAAATTACTTTTTATATTATTCCAATGTACAGACACAGATCGCATTCGATTTTATTATATATATGGTGTGAAAAACCATATGTCCACGTGAGCCGTGCAGGTAATTGAGTCGGCTGGTAAATATATTATCATATAGGACCTGCAAGTTTTAATGCAGGTCCGTGTATTACACTGCGACACACAGGCGGACATATATCTTATTAATATTATAAACGCGAAAGTTTGTAAGTATGGATGGATGTTTGTTACTCTGTCACGTAAAATCCGTTCAGAAGTTTCTGAACGGATTTTTTGATGAAATTTACAGTAATATAGCTTATATATCAGAATAACATATAGGCTATAAATTTCACACGGGTGAAACTGCGGGCATAGCTAGTTTAAATATACGTATATACTATCTCCCTTTGTGGTATATAAACTTTAAAAGTATACTTATTAATGACTTGTTGTGACCCATAAAATAACTATATGACGCTATGCATTATGTTAGTAATGAATAAATGAACGAGTAAGAGGTGCATTGACTACAATCACAAAGTTGATTCATATTTTGAATAAACCCAGATTCTCAGTTTTTTACAGCCTGTTTAATTCAAAACACTTTGTAACGATATTCTATAATTTCTCCAGCCGTTATAACGGTAACTATGTATGTATATGTCACGATATTATATATATACCTAACGTAGCTTACTTCCTAAAATGGAGTTTTCTATCACTTTATAATCTGTATCTTTACTTTATATACTCACTTTATATCTGCATTTAGTAATATTTAACAATTTAAATTACTATAAAAAGAACAATGTTTTAAAAATTTACTTCAAAAACATAACAATCATAAGATATATTTTTATAAAGATAAAATGAATACATATTTTTCATTATGTTGACTGTACATGCACGATGTGTTGGCGACTGCATTGATACGTAATTGCGATTTGTCAACGTGGTATTCAGTTTGACACATTATTATTTCTGACACGCCACTGTCATTCGGCATAAGTCACACGACATGTCACTGTCATGGGTCTATTGATTATTTGATTTCAAATACAATTTATATTTACAAATTTTGTACAACACACAAATTTACCCTTATCTGTTTCTTTTATATTTATTGCCTTTAACATCAATTTATATAGAAAGATAATTGGACCAAATTTTGATATGAAAATAAAGGTCCGAGACCGTACCTTACACTACTTTTTATTGCCTTTTTTATTCTAAATCATACCTGTCTGTTTTTCAACTTTTCACGTAAATATTGTGGTCACAAAAATACAACATAGGCCATATATTATCTTTAAAAAATAGGCCAAGTATATACTATATGCCGTATAAACTGCAAAATTTTCTTCAGCCTATATGATGAAAATTTAATTCTAATCCACTCGCTATTTTTATGTGTAACATACAAATAAACGAACATAAATTTAGGCCTCGTTACAATTTAATTATATTATACGCGAAATATATATGGGGCTGAGTGTATCTACTCGACTGACCTATGTGATACAGGATGCTCAGCATTATTTTCTATTAAACGTAAACCTGTACCACGGTCGAGGTAGCGGCAGGTCACGGGCGTAGAATGCTGCAATAATTCCTTACCTTATTAGTATTAACTGACTACATTTTCTTCTATTATTTTCAATACCACTTTGTTTTCAAAGTTATTACTTTTACTTTACATAATGCATATATATATACTTCTAATAACAATATTATCCATGGACAATTTACATAGCGCCATCTAAGCAGTAAACTGTGCATGTATGATGGATACTAGATAGATGTCTAGTGTGTACGTATTTATAATGTACGAAACACAACTTACAAAGCTGCTTAGCTACTGGTTGAACTGGGGGACACAAACATGCATGCGCGGATAACTTTGCTCAAAGTTTACCTCTCGTAAAAGCTACATACAAAATATTACATTAAGACTAAACCTACGAAATTAAGTTGGATGATGTAATATATACATAGCATAAGTAACTAATGGTAATTTTTAATATAACTTATAAACTGACGGCTAAAACACAATGCTATAGTCTCTAAACTCAGTACTAAAATACTACATACTATAACTGAGTCTACAATTCAGTACATTCAATACTTCATTTTAATAACTCGTAATAAGAAAACAAAGCAGTTTGATCTTCAATATCCAAATATGTCTAATAAACGTTTGGCATTTAAATGAATGCAGAAATAAACGGATATATTACAACTAGGATATTAACCGTTTTTATATATTCTTTCTTTTCACTAGTTGATTTTATCTAATCTAAACAATTTATCGGAATATCCTTGACAGTATAGTGGTTTAACACACGTTTGTGTGGGAGGAAGTTCACATGTAAATTATTTATCAAGTTCACATGCACCTTGTCCTTTGATATGTGTTTAAGGCGTGAATAAATAAGCAGTACCGATCAAAACCAAATTAGTGGTTTGATTTAATTCCATACATTTTCGCATTTGCCATTCTCAATAGAATAAAAGTTATAAGTTATTTCAAAAACATTAAATTATCGTTTTAATTATGCAGAGTACTGCGTTTTTCGATATCATCATCCAACTAAGGCTAGTTAATTACCCCACGTTATTATGGAGACCCTCCGGGGTACTCCGGAGGGTCCGTCCGTTGCACAATTTCAACTTATGTAGATATTCATGAGTTCGTCTGTCTGTATTGATTTGTGTATTTTCTATCGAAGTCTATATTGTATAGTATGCATTCAGAAAAACGAGGTAATACCAGTATGTCTGTCTGTATTAATCTGTGTGTATCATGTATAGTACACATTCAGAAAAATAGAGATAATAACAGAATTTCCGTCTGGAGTGATTTGTGTATTTTCTATCTAGGAATATCATATAGGATGCATTTAGAAAAAGGAGGTAATACCAGGATTTCTGTCTGTATTGATTTGTGTATTTTCTATCTAGGTATATCATATAGGATGCATTTAGAAAAAGGAGGTAATACCAGGATTTCTGTCTGTATTGATTTGTGTATTTTCTATCTAGGTATATCATGTATAGTATACATTTAGAAAAATGAGATAGTACCAGGATTTATATCTATATTGATTTGTGTGCTTTCTATCTAGGTGTATCATATATACTCGTAGTATGCCTTCAGAAAAACGGTAATACCAGAATTTCTATTAGTACTACCCTGTACAGTAGCGAATTACGGTTATTTGGAGCCTAAATTCACCTTCCCCTTTATTTTATTTGTTTTTTAATAGGTGATAAATTTATTTATTACACATTTTTTAATACTAATTATAAAATGTACTTTCTTCATTTGATTTTCTATTTGAAAAGTAATTGTGATTCCACCCACCACCCCTTTAAGCTTCTTGCCCGGGGCTATGGCGCTCTGTAGCCTCCTCTTTACGCCACAGACGGTACAAGCTATGTTTACTTGGCAACTAGAGAACTAGATAACACTTTTTCAATTTATTTGTTTTATAATCTTTATGTCTCCCTGATTTAACGTATTGAGGAACTGCAACAATAATTAAAAATTATATTTCTTTAACAGGATTCTATTCATTATTTAACTCGAGAAGCGCCATCTGTCGCCTTTGAGTTAGAGAACATGGGTATGCCATTTTCAAGGACCCAAGATGGTAAAATCTATCAAAGATCTTTTGGAGGCGCAACAACGCATCACGGCACGAAATCTGCAGCTAAGAGGACCTGCTGTGTTGCTGATCGGTAATAATTATAATATCATGAGCTTATGATGACTGATGATTTGGTTAATAGAATAATTTATTACACATGACACAACATTACGATGTCTCTGACCTCTAATCTAAATAAACCTCAAGAATTAATTTAGTACAGAAATTCTAAAACAAAGACAAAGAAATACTGATTTTGATTTACGTGATGACATACGTAAAACAAAATCAGATACATAAAAACAACGTACGGTGTGCTAGATTATATCGATTAGTAATTTTATCTCAGGTGAGGATATCATCTGTCGGTGTCGTGGTGTAACGCAACGCAACATTTGATATGGAAAATCCATAATTAGAATCTAAAGCATTTATGGACGAGCCTACCGCCCTTTCTTGAATTATTTTTGGTTTCCTGTGGTGTTTGCTTCAATGGAGAGTTGTCAAAGCGTAACATTGCGCACAATATTTTCTGTAGTGGGCAAAATAAAGAAAAAAGTAATGATGTAATTAATTTTGTAAGCAAACGGTAACTGTATACGTTATCTGAGCAGTTGGGGGAATGATAGGACGAGCATGAATTCAGGTCAGTTAGCCCGTCGAGGCGAATATGGCTGCTTGTCCCTGTTACTAACAACGCCCTTTCCTTATTCCCCCTCCCCGTGTAATCTTTATTATGCTGCCAGGTCTATTGTATGTTGTTACATACATATCAGTTATTATTATTATTTTAATCCAGTATAATTGAGAATTCTTAGTAACTAACACAGTTACTAGATTAAAATAATATTCACACTATGCTCTCTATTTATGAATAATAAACAACTAATAGAAATACTTGTTTTTTAAATATGTAAATAGTTCTGTTGATTGTTCAAATCTATAAAAAATACAGGATATCTACATAGATAACTCTTAAACAAACATCAAGCTCATAGATACAAATGTTTGTACCGTGCGCTGAATCAAACACGCGACCATTGAAAGGAAGGTGGTGTGTTTATAGGCTAGACCAAAGCCGTCGGTTACATAAAACTTATAGATTGGTTTGTTTGATTTTATGTATTAAGATTTATAGGTGTAGTTTTTATATTAAATATTATTTTAATACGGGCATTGCAAAAGGGGGAGATTGTAAGGGGTGGCAGTGGGAGCGAAGCTGGATTTAACGTGAGTGACTAGCGATTATTACGAAATATGAAAACATGAAGGGAATTGCAAATATCCTAATAATTTTAAAGGTTTGTTTTAATTTTTGCATATATGAAAATCGTCGCGGGTGAAATTGTTTATCTGTTTATCCGTCTACATGTTACAGATTAACGTGAAAACAGCTGTGTGAGGATATAAATTAAACTTTCACAGAATATGCTGTTGAATAAATTATGAAATAGCAATAGAAATAATCTTCATTCAAATAAACTTTATACAAGCACTTTCACAAAAGTCACATTTTTTTATTCTACCGCTCATTCAGAATGCAGACTCATTACAAGAAGAATAAGGAAAAAAAACGTATATATGTGTCACTCTTTTAAATAAATATTGTTTTAATTAGATTTAAATTAACAAGCATTAGGCCGCCATATTTATTGTCGCATACCATCAATATGGCGGTTTTTATGTTGATTGATCAGAGATTTCTGTTCTATCAGATAACATTGTCAGCGTTATGAATTTTAAGTTAGACATTTTCTACAAATATCATTTCTTCAATTTTATAATATGCTTTTTAACAAAGAAAATATTTTATAAGACATTGGATTCTTTTTTCTGGTAAATTGAGTACAGACACTGGCAGTTTGTTGGAATTGTAAGGTTTTACCTTACGCAATTTCCATAAAATGAATTACTAACTTTCGTCAAACGGCACTTAGGTAAAACTAGTTTGTTGATATTATGTAAGCTTTTATTAGTGTACCATCTACTCACCTACTATTTTAAAACTATTAATGTTTTTCCTGACATGCATAATATTTATATCAGCTGTTTTGCCCCATAATATAATATCATATGACATAAAGCTAAGAAAATAGCTAAAATACACAAGTTGCCGTAGCCGTTGCCACGTTTGTTAATTCTCTAATTCTTCTTACCGTATTGGAGGCAGAACTAAGTCTATTCGCCAGTTTAGAATATGAGCACCCCAATGTAGTTTAGAATATAATGTGATACCGAGAATCACGGTATCATCAACAAAGTTAATAGGATTATTGTTCAATACGACTTTTCTTCTACCTTCCTTACATTGGGGTGCGTAAATTTAATATAGCATCCTAAGACCTCTCCAAAGAATCAAAAATGTGTTTAATTAGAGCTAGCTATACCAGCGTCCGTAGTAGATTTACCGGTCGTGAAACCAAATTGTCGACTGTGAAGCAGTCTCTTTCATTTAAAGTGTTAAAGCATTTGATTGAGCATAATTTTTTCAAACACTTTACTTAGTACTGCTAAGATAGATATGGGCCTATAACTACGTACTTCAGGTTTATCCCCTGACTTAAAAAGGGACGTGTTTTTACTACGTTTCATTAAATTGGGAAAACTCCGTCTCCGTTTAAATGACATACCTCAATAATCACCCGTAATTTTTTAACTTGATTATTTTAGTTATTGTATTTGGGCTAATATATGTAAATTTAAATATTTGAATTAGCTATACTTGGAGATAATTTCAAAGAAGTACCTAACATCAATAGATGTACCTATGATGACCACAGGCAGACTAAAATGACAGTGAGAAAACTATTTCCGCACCATATTCTTTGTATATCACCAAAGAATAGAAATAATTGAATATTTAATTTTAATACCTAATCTAGTATTTAATGTATTAATAAAATAATAGAAGACAGTCAGAAATAGTATGTAATAAATGTGTTGGGCATAAATATATCTCGTAATGTTACTACGTTAGGAATGAATTGGTTTAATAAACACACTTTGTAGAAGACTGTGTTTGTCATTAGTATACAATCTATATTGAAATAGTGATTAAAAAAAGGTTGTACGCTTTGTAAATGCAAATGTCCATTCCACACATTGGTAATGGAAAAAACTGAATTGGAAATGGAATAAATGCGATTTTCTAGGAGTAGAGTTACAAAACTCAGTTCCCGACGCTTGATTATTTATTTGCAATGTAGTTCCACGCTTAATATTGTAGTTCTCTACCTGGAGTGCTGTATCCGCTAAGTACGCTATTTCAGTTTGTTAGCTTGCATCACGAGAAAATCAGATTATTCGTACATTTTTTTTGTTATTGTTTAAATTATTGTGTTATTACTATTTACATTAATATAAAATAATATTAATAATTGTGTAATATTTTAATTAAAAATAAAATTACATCTGTTTGTACTGTACTACTATAAAATGTATAGATAAGTGTTATTGTTGAGAACCGTAATAGAAAATAGAAGATTTATAGCAATATGTTATCGTGTCAACGACATTTATCATTACGTGTAACTAAAAGTTATAGACTAAAATAATTTCCCATTTAAAAAAAGTTACTACGATGCAGGATTACTAGTGTCCATTACAAGTAGCTTTTATAAAACGAAATAATGATCAAGATACTAATTAGCTTAGTGCATTTCAATAAGCGCTCGTACATACTACTTCTTATAAATTACTCAAGTTTCCAATTTCAACTTTACCTGAATAAAATCTAACAAAATTAGTGTCCGATATTTCATATAATATACACCGAGGTACTTCGACAGCCCTAGAAACATCCATTTGTGCAGGTGCCAGTCGTGTTATAACTAATGTGTCGCCATTCTAGGAGAATAAGTTGCTATGCCTCTTATCCTATAATTTCACTGCCTAAACTGACCTTACTACCAAAACACAGTAACAAGTAACGACGCAAGCTGAAGTAGGTGGGAATGAAGTGCAGGCTAGTTTAAATAGAATACATCTAGTAAATTATGTTTACTTAGGACAGGGTCATCTAGAAAACTACCAAATAAAAAAAAATTCTGATACAATTCCCATTGTTATACAGAAGTTGTTTTGAAGTAAAAAGCTTTACACATTTATAATTTCTATCACTGCTGTTTGAGTTGTTAAATTTTCCTGGCTCTCTCTCAAAATTTCCTCGTAACATGCCAATAATTTTTTTATGCCCTCTTTGTAGTTGTAATGCGGGCTTCATTAGGATCTATTTTTTCCAAAATTTGTAATCCTTTTTCTATTGAACTAAGGCCCTCCGTTAAGTTTGCGACAGTCATCTGATTTTCTGGTACAACTTGGTCTACAGAATCTGTTTGTTGAATAACCTGCTCATTGTCAGGCATTTCAATAAGTTCACTATCCGTGAACGTTTGATTGTATGAATCTTGAACATTTCCACTATCTACCTCTAAATTAAATTGCTCATCAACATCGATGACTTCAATTACAGTATAGATAGGTTCAGAATCTAGATCAGCTTCATCCTCCGGTTCGCTGGTAAAAAAAAATGGACACAATTTCTTCCAGGCGTCATTCAAAGTTTTTTTGGAAGTCTCATTCCAAGATTGGTTTAAAATTGCTATAGCATCTAATATTGTAAATTGTTTCCAAAAATCCTTGATTGAAAGCTCGGTGACTCGTCTCATAGCAGCTTGTAGATGTACAAATAATTGTTTTCTGTAATAGGTTTTAAAAGTTTTTAAGACGCCTTGTTCCATCGGTTGAAGCAATGTAGTGACGTTTGTTTCCAAAAAAATAACTTTGACGTTTGGATCTAAATCTATTAGAGTTTCAGAATGACCAGGTGAATTGTCAATAATCAACATTATCTTAAATGGCAAATTATTTTGTACGCAGTAGTTCTTAACTTGTGGAATGAAATGATTACTAAACCAATCTTGAAAAAGAGTATCTGTCACCAAGCCTCTCGTCTGAGGCTTCCAAATAATGGGTAAACTATCTTTAGGTATATTCTTCAAAACTCTTGGGTTTTCTGAATGATATATAATGACTGGTTTTAATTTACAGTCGCCCTCTGCATTTGAACCAACCATCACTGTCAAACGGTCG